TTGCCTCCGCGTTAAAATTAACATAAAATGAAAGCTTAATGTATTGTGTATTAAATTTAATAAATTTAATTTGCGGCGGTCTGCGGCTGCAGTCAGGGGAAATAAAACCCTTTAGAAGTCACAAATTTATTTTTAAAATTGAATATATATTGTATTTTATATATCGATATCTATGGTATTTTAGTCCCATTTAATAAAGCTAATTGAGGAGAATGTTTGTATAATATGCAAATGTGCAATTTCGGTCCACGTTTTCTCATAGCCAAGAAAGTGCCTCGGCGGAAAACAGTTTTAACAGCCATAACTGGTTTAGAAATACCAGTATAGCTTTCAAATTCCACATAAGCAAGTTTTATATGAAGCAAAATCTCTCTAGCAAATTTTACGAGGATCACGCCATTATTGATCCTACCCCCATAAAAGTCCCCTTTATAAAATGACTTTTAAGCTCATTATTGACTTAAAAATAAGAGTACAGCGACGAAATTCGACATAAACAAGTTTTGTACAAGTTAAAATTTCTCTACAAATTTATGAAGGTGGTCTATAATTGACCATACCCCCCATATAAGTCCTCCTTCAAAAAATGTGTAATTAGCGTAAAATTTAGGCTTAAAATTACGAGTATAGCGATGAAACTCGACATAAACAAGATTTGTATGAATCGAAATCGTTCTACAAAATTTTACGAGGATCACCACATAACTGGCCCTACCACCCAAGGTCTCCTACAAAAAAATGACTTTAAAGCTCATTATTATAATTACTTACATATGGTCAGATAAGTAAGTACTTTATTTTGAGTTTTCACACACACACACAGAAATCTTTTCCGTGAAAACCATTATTGGACACGCAATAAAAGTAGAGCTGTTGTGAGTACGATAGCGAATTAAACAACAAGAAGCCCGGCCCTTATTCTGTGTGAACAATTTTTTTTTTGTTTAAAACAAAACAGCTTTTTAACTCCTTATTTATAAGTACTTATATAAGTAGTGATTTGTAAGAGAGCGTGGTAAGTACTTGCCTCCAATGTCATGACCGTGTTAAAATAATGAGTTAAAATGCTATTGAATAAGTAGTGAAAAGCTTTTAACTCATTACTTTTCAATATAAGTTTTTGCTGGGTAATGGTAGGTTTTTATTTATTCTCAATTCATTTATATGTATAAATTGAATTTAGTTAAAACTTATTTCTATATAAGGGGTTAATAATATGAATTGTTCATTAATGCATTACATTCGAAAAGAAATATTACCACAAAACTTTTGTTCAAACTGTTGCAATCAAAATATTAAATTTCAAACATATATTACCAAGCAACCATTAAATTTTCGAAACTCACATTAATATATATGATCAGAAATGTTGTCAAAATTGTTGGTGTAAAACTTTAGGAATTTATCTCTAACAGATAAATAGTTACAGATTTATGATCAGAAAACGACAAAAATTTCGCGCTGTGCATTGTAGTGACACCATATTCTAAACAACCTTACCCTTTTCGATTTTGATAAAATTAGGTACACACATTTTTGTATCAATTCAAATTCATTACGGTTTAGATTTTATCAAGGTTCAAATTTTTTAAGATGATGACATCAAACAACGTCCTTTAGTCAAAGATATCTCAAAAAAGGTACCTTACATTTTCTTTATTCCCTCATATAAGATTGCTTATAGTGTTTTAAATAAAATATAAAAATTTCAGAATGAGACAATGCACAGTGGGAGAAATGGCCAATCTGGTGTCGCTTTAAGGAAATTTTAAATTTGAGAATTCTGAAATTTTTTTTTAATTTTCTGGTAACTAAGAAAACAAGTGATTTTTCATTTTTTTATTTCATTTTACTCGCAATATTCACACATTAGTGAGCTTTCAAACTTTGCATATTTTTTAGCAATTGAATTCATTATTTTTTCACTTTTTTACAGTTTAAGTTTGATTACACATAAAATCTTAAGTTTAGATTTTTTTATTTGGATTACACAGTGGGGCAGAATGGAAATTTTTTGGAAATAAATCTGGCATTTCTAAACGGCTGATCCGATCGGGATAAAATTTGGCGTGAGCGTAGCCAAGGAGTATTCGAGTTTAAGTTTTGAAGATGAACCCTGCAGATGCCCCAGGGACGGCGCTGTGGCGGCTCAAAGTAGGGTACCTACGACATGTAAAATTTTTAAACTCGTGCCATTTTTTTGTTTTTCACCCAAATACAAAGATTTTTATACTTTGTGAAAGCGCTCGACGAGATCTTGAAAAAACATGCTTGGACATACTACTTATCTCTTATAATATCCGAGTTATAGGCATTTAAAAATTTAGTGATACAAAATTTACCATACCTTGGTCCGCCTTTTTTTGAATACCGGGCGTAATTTTGGACCAAATTTTTTCTTGTTAGTTAGACAACAAAATTTCCAATAATATACAAAAAATTTCAGATCAATATTGTTTACAGATCCAAAAATATACGTTTTTTAATTTAAAAATTCAAAAAATTTTAGATTTTTGGCGTTTTTTTGCCAAAAATGTGTCTTAACTCTTTTATTAATAAAATAAAATTTTCTTTAAGAACATATAACAATTTTATAGTTTTCTAAAAGGTATCTTTACGCAGAACGCTTTGGCGTAAAAAACTTGTCCTATTTTTTGAAAATGTTGCCACTGCGTCCTTCCGAATATGACCTATTTTTTATCAAAACTTCAACTTTGGGCGACATGTTCTAAAATCCCAAAGCTGGGATCAGAAAACTGAAAGCAGTTTGGAAACCTCAATATGTTTTCTATTTACTCCAAAAGTATTTTCCCAGCCCTGAAAGAAATGTGGACCCTATGGGCAAAAAAGTAAAAAATCCCATTTTTGGGATTTTCATTCCTATTTTTGGGAATTGCGGGATGCCCTTTGACCTTTTCAACTTTTGCATATTCTTATTTGAAATGACAAATTTAACAAGCGTTGAAAATTTCATTGAGTTTTGTTCATAAATAAAGATTTTGTCATATATTACATATTTGTTTAATTTCTAAAACTATGATTTATATCAAAATTTTAATAGGATCGCAGATAGCTACAACAATTTAGTCCATATTTATCCCTTAATATCATTTTTTAGTTAGATATGGAAATTCTCGACCCTTTACAAAAAATTTCAAGCCAATATCTCAATTACATTCAAAAATATGTTCATTTAAACCTGTGTCCTTTAATTTCATCTTTTTCATATTTTAGTATTAAGTATGACAGAACATATTTAAATCTTATATTTACCTATTTTCTATTTGTTTGCTTATCCTTATAATTGAAAGGGTCTATTATGCTTAAATTTTCAAAAAGTCGTTACAAATAAATTATATATAAGCCTAAATAACATTGTCCATTTCCATAATGATCGGACCACATTTGACCCTACCCCCCATACAAAGTCCCTTCATAAAATGACTTAAATATCCATAATTCCCATATAAATACTAGTGTATCGAATATATTTAGCAAAAATAACTTTAATATAAACATAAATACCCCCACCAAATTTAATGAAGATTGGCCTATGTTTGACCCTAGTCCCCATATATGGCCTTTTTCAAAAAATAAATTGTACACCATTAAATTGCCTTAATATTTAGGTATTAACGTAGAATTTAACGTAAATGCTTTAAAAATAAAAAATAAACCACGTTTTAAATATTAAAATACAAAAATAAAATAAAATATTTACATGAAAAATGTGTGTACCGAATTTCATCGAAATCGGAGAGGGTCATGTTCAAAATCCTACTTTTTGTTCGAAATTTTTTGAAATTACCTCTGAACGATTTTGTAAAGGGATATTTATATAGGCAAGGTCAAATCAAGGGCCAATTTTAAATAGTCTTTTGATTTTTTTTCACATAATACATCTCATTTAATTATGTGAAAAATTGCGACCTGTACATTATACCTGGACAGCCATCCGCACAGACGGGTAGACATGGATTAGCACTTTTTTCAACGAATTTGCACTTTTTTGACCGTCATTTTGCACTTTATCCTGTGGGAGTTCTGGCAACACAGCTTTGAAGCCATTTTTTCAAAACCGAATTAACAATTAATTTATTATTATATTATATTTATTATATTAATTTATTGGAACAAAATTGGGAGCATATCGAGGGACTATATTTAATAGTCTCTATCTGTCATTTTCATGAAAATAATATTTTGATGGCATAATATCCAGCAAACTATCCCGCATTTCAAAAAAAAAAAATATTTTTTGGCAATTTTACAGCAATTTTTAAATTTCTCTATCTTAAAAAAAGAAAAATTCTGAATGCAAAACTCTCTATCTTATCCAAAAATTGCTTCAAACTCTATCATTTTGGATAATTTTCTGTTGCAAAACAAGTTATTACTAATTTGGACATGCTGAATCGGTCTAATAGTTTTCGAGATATCGCTCATTATGATACTAATTTGATTAATTTTATTGCCGTGGTTAACCATATAACATTGGATTTGGACGAAAACCTTATAATCTGTTCCTTTTTCAACAATTTGGTTTATATTACTTCATTAAATTGCATAAATTATAGTATTTATTGATATTAAATCAAATAAAAAATTTCTATGAAAAACTCTCTATCTGAAGAATGTAAAAAAATTCGTAGAAGAAAAAGCTCTATCTGATATAAATTTATGAATAATTTTGCAAATAATGCAAAATTTAAAATTATCTTTATATAACGATTTAGAAATAATATGGTCGTCAAAAATATATTGTAGAAAATAAAAAATCTTCACGAACTAGCAAAATAAACAGTCTTTTTGCTCACCTGAAAACTTGTGTTATTTTAGATAGAGTCAATTGAATATAGTCTCTTGATATAGGCTATTCAAATCCAAAATTTTATTTTAATTGAACAATTAGTCTTGTAGATATTAACGATTAAAAATTGTTCGATTTTGGTGGGTTCAACTTTTTTTAATCAATTGTTAAATATATTTTTTGTACTTACTTAAATGCATAAAAATGAGAAACAGATTTTGAAGGACATGTTGAATTAAGAGCACTAGATCCAACTGATGGTACGTTTGATAATTCATTATTGCTTTGACTGGTTGCTATACAAATTGGGCGCGTAGAATCTTTATTAACTTCCTGGCAGTGCTGATTTGAATGGATTTGATTTGAGTTTGCCTTTGATATGAGATCTAACGGAGGTTCTTTTTTGCTGTTAAATTCTGAAACATTTTGCTGCTGAGTTACCGAAGATGGAATTATTGCAGGACCAATATTCGTGTTTAAGGTATTTTTTGTAGGTTGCTCTGAAGTTGGTGGCGTTATAAATTGTTGTTGCTGATAAAATTGATATACTCCATAGTTACCAAGTGTTGTCGATATGTTACTCTGATTTGAATTACATGACGTTGATGATAATCCTATATCTTGAGATTTTTTAATCACGTCCGAGTTTTTTGACACTTTATCTATGTGATCTTGATCGTTTACTGGCGTAGAATCATCTGATATATCACTATAAGCTGGGCTTTGTACATCGTCACGGGATGATATATTGCATGTGTTTAATTCAATGGGATCATAATCAGCAGGCGATGGAGATTTTCGGCCTTTTTTGGGCTTTGGTGTAGCTGAACTCGCTAATACAGTTTTAATATTCGGCTGATTTATATGTAGTTGTGATGATTTTTCTGGAGTATCACTACATGTTTCTTTGTTTGAATCTTGTTGGCCAGGTATGCATTTCTCTGATGATCCTGTAGGACTACTTTCAGACTCAATTGATTCTACTTGATTCAAAGCTTCATTAGAACGATTATTAGAAAACAACCCGGAACCATTATTTTTACAATCCCCTTGTCCAAAACGCAGAACTCCAGATTTTCCTTAAAATATTAAAAGAATGTTTATTTTATTAACAAACATCAAAATCGTATTAATTTTCTACATTTTAAAACCTTACATACAGTGTGAATCAATTAAAAAATAAATTTTATTTTAACATTTATTTCAGTGAAAATGTTGTTACCTTATTATTGACTAGCTATACCCAGTGTCATTCACTACCCTCATCGTAATGTAATAAAATAAATATTGTTGTAAATGTATATACACTCCCGCTCACTTAAATAGGTTCACTGTTTTGTTTACATTCAAATTAATATTTTGCAAAAAATAATGGACTAATTGGTTACATTAAAATTTTAATTAATTCCATGATGTCTTATATATCACTTAATAACCGATTTTTAATAATTTTTTTTTCTAAAATACTACGTTTTTGAACAATATTTTTTGGCTCATTTGAATAGGTTCGTCGTCTTTAATTGACAAAAACAACAACAAATTGCATTTTTCATGAAACTTTTTTATTTTATAAATATTTTTACAAAGTTTTAGAAAAGATTTACTAAGGAACATATCCGCCGTTACTTGATATAACTCCGAAAATTCGAGATGATAAAGAGTTATAAAGATTATTAAGTAATGGCAAGGAAATTTCGGTCCAAGCCTTTTTAGTTCCTTCAATTTAGGCTTCTTTTATGTCGTACTGTCTGCCCGACCTATACACATTACGAGAAAGAATATCCGAAACGTTTTCAATAATAAATAGGTGAGAAGATTATGAAGGCCACTTCAAAATTTTTACATTCTGGCTTCAAATACACACTTTTACAGCCCTGGCGGTATGGATCGGGGCATTATATTTTTGAAATATCCACGGCAATGTTTCAAAGATATCCGAAAATGTAAAAAACGGGTTTCCAGTGTGGCATTATAATTATTACAATTCTTACTAGATGAAAGAAATTTAAGCTCACATGTTTCATGACACGAAATTGCCCCCCACTACATCCCATATCCTCAACAGCTATGCAACGACTCAGGAAGAGCTCTTCCTTTCAAAAATCATAAGAATAATGATTATATCGATCTGGACCTTCTAAATTAAACATTTTTCATCCGAAAAAACAAGATGTTGATATAGCTTTTTATAACCATGTGCTCACGTGCAAACTGAAGAGGATTTCTCTTTACGAGTGGCAATTGGAGTGGCTTTTATTAATTTTTTAATATTTCTAAAGCCTTGGCCCTTCTTACAATTCGTTTTAGTGTAGCTAGGTTTGCTGTAACATCCACTTTTTCTCTAATTTTTGCTACAGAATCACTTGACTTGTAGGCAAATTTTATGAAATCTCTTCTGTCCGCTTTTGTTTTGACTCTATATGTAGTTCCATTTATGCTTTCTTAATATTAACTGTTTTCTTATACAATTGCGAATAACATTCTGAATTTGAAATTTTTTTTTGCCAAATTCCTGTGATTTTGGACAGTTTCCAAAAACGCTTGAATTTTGTCATTTTATTATTTAGTTAATGCCTTACCGCAACCTATTTCTTAAATAGGTTGCGGTAAGGCATTACCGCATATAGACAATATAGAATATAGACAATATATCTGTGAATAAATACAATATAGACAATATATCTGTGAATATATTGTCTATATTCACAGACACTAGAATATGAATGGATTTTACTCACTGCCAGCAGTAAACTGATTTTATTCTGATTGAACCTAATCAAGTGAGACAAAAAAATATGGCTAAAAAACGTAGTATGTTAGAAAAAAAATTATTAAAATCCGCTATTAGGTATTGCGCTAATTTTTGTCTCACTAGTGATACCTAAGACATCATGTTATTATTTAGAATTTTAATATTACTAATTAGTCCATTAGTTTTTGCAAAAAATTAATTTGAATGTAATCAACACAGTGAACCTATTGAAGTGAGCGGGAGTGTATGTATATAAATTATATAATTATAGATTTTCATACACGTTTTTAGGTTCAATATTAAAAACCTATGAAAGTCCCCTTTCAATAAGGACCTTATAAGTATGATTTTATGATTCTAGTCCCAATATTATAGAAAATTAAAAAAAAAACAGTCGAAGAATGCAAAACTACCAGATATAGATTTTCATTAAATCAGGATTTTCAACCAGAAATTCCTCTCAAACAGATTTTTATACAATCAGGTTGTTCAAGTTCAAATCGTCAGTAAAGATACGTTGCCAAAATTTTATGAGAATCGGTCCATTCAAAATTTTATGACAATCGGTCCATAATTGACCCTACCCCACATATAAGGTCCCTCTCAGAAAACGACAATAACACTGACAACATGCTTCAAAATGATAGCAATGGAACGAATTTTGACATAAATAAGTTTTAGAGGAACCTAAATTTCAATACTAAATTTTATGATGATCGGTCCAATATTAGCCCAACCCTTATATATGGTTCCCTTTAAAAATTAAACTCGACTTAAAGGTTTCCGGGAACTAAAATCTCTCTGCCAAATTTTATGGAGATCGACCCATAATTGACCCCACCCCCCATTTAAGGTTCCTCTCAGAAAATTACTTTACAGTTCATAATTTGCTTCAAAACTCTAATATATCAACAAAATTGACATAAACATGTTTTATAGAAACTAAAATCTCTCTGCAAAATATTAGGAGAATCGGTCCATAATTGGTTCTGCAACCATATTTTATTCTGTCAGAATCAAAAGATGTAAAAAATGTCTTTCAATGTTTTCTTTTGAAAAAAAAAAAAATAATATTGAAAACCTAAATAGATATTAAAGAATAACAATTTTAACAGATATATTTGACAGCTTTTTTTCCTGACAGTATTAAATAAAAAAAATACAAAGGATCACGAAATGAAAAACATCGGAATGAAATTCTGCGACAGACCTATATATAACCTTTATATATGATAAATCAGTTTAGAAAAAATCTAATAAATGATAAAATTGTTATAGCTAAAACATCGATTTATATAGTATAGGTCCACTTTCCGAAATTCACTTGAAATTTAAGACACACGATTTGATGGTGGGTATATAAGAATATTGCACTCTTACTTGTTTTTTTTTTTGTTATTGCCTTTTTGATAGTGCCAGAGTCTTCAGTTTTCCTCTTAGCAACCCCTGAGCTTAATACAGGTTTTATGTTCAATATTATAGAAAATTCATAAAGTATTAGAAAAAGAAGAAAAAAGTACCAGAAAGTGTCTTTTTATAAATTTTCATTCAATCAGGACACTGCGTGTTTAATTTTATGTTTATACATATATTCAATAGTTTAGAAACTCAATAAGTCTTACCAGTTGAAGTAGGACCTTTATTATTTAATTTCATTTATCTTAAATATTATAAAGAATTCAAAAAGTACCAGTTAAAGAACGAAATTATAGAAAAAATAGAAAACTCAAAAAATACCAAAAGGTTCCCTTTTATATGTTCTCATTTACTCTGTTCTAGGTTCTATATTATAAAAAATTTAAATGTACCAGTTAAAAAACGAAAAAGTACTACAAAGTCCCCTTTTATAGGTGTTCATTTACTCCTGCCTCTTCAAGCTTAATTTTATGCATATATTTTCATAATTCATGAATTTCAGGAAAACTGACAATTTTTGACCTCATTCATGTCTTTCAATTTCCTTCATATTATCTATATATGGGCAATTCCATACGCTTGTATGTGACATTCGCACGCCTTCAGAGTGGTATAGATTTTGTAAAATTAGGAGTAATTGGAAAACAATTTCGTCATTCTGTTCCATTTAAAGAATACTGTATTTGCAAAAGGAATCATCCCATTCGGAACCTTGTTTTCCAAAATATGGATTAAAATATGGCGATATCATACGTGACAAAAAACGGCAAAAATAGGCAGTGGTTATGTGAGCGTGCTTTACTGGCATCCAAAAACATTGACGTTAATTGTATCAATAATATTATTTTGAATAGAATCGATGGTAATTTAAAAACATATAAATCCATCGATACTGTTACAAATAATGATGATGTCGTCAATGTATCCCCACGAATTGAAGTTGAAAATTGGCGTTCCAATTATTTTATTGCGAAATATTGATCCACCACGTCTTTGTAATGGTACTCGATTAACAGTTAAAAAATTAATGAACAACTTAATCGAAGCAACGATTACAACTGGCCAATATAAAGGAACGGATGTCTTACTACCTCGGATCTCAATGACAACATCGGAAATGCCATTCGAATTTAAACGGTTGCAATTTCCTACACGTTTGGCATTCGCGATGACAATAAACAAATTTAAGGGTCAATCCCTGCAAGTGTGTGGAATAAATCTCGAAAATCCATGCTTCTCACATGGTCAGCTTTATGTTGCATGCTCGCGAGTTAAGAAACCTTCAGATTTGTATATCTACGCGCCTGAGGGGAAAACGAAAAATATTGTATATCCCAAGGCTTTAGAATTGGAAATAATTATTAAGAAAAATTTTAATTGTAAATATTAAGTCAATTAAATTTTAGTAATTTTGTAATATTTTGTAAATTTATGCTAATTATAGAAATAATTATTAAGAAATAATATATGTACATAAATATCATTAATTAATAAAATACTTTAAATATCAAACTTTCTTTGTCTTATTACTTTATGGTTTTGGATAGTGACAAACAAATATTAATAAAATTTTTATAAACAAAAAATGTATATGAATATATTTTGAAAATTTTTTATTTTATATCGACAGGAGTAGCAAAGCACGCCGGGTTTTAGCTAGTATATATATATAACTACTTTTTTAAGTAATTTAATAATCGAAATCGGTCTATTTTTACACCTCGTCGCCATACAAACGGAACCGAAAATATCACTTTTTAGCTCATAATTCTGTTAATTATAATACTATCACTTCAAAAATCGGCAGATCTAAAATGTTTATAAGCCTAAACCTTTATACCGATTTTCATAACGATTGGACCTCATTTGACCCTAGTTCCATTCAAAGTTTAATTTCAGAAAAACACTTAA